AAAGGCATATTTCAAAGAGAAAGCGAAATTTAGACGTCAGATTTCAGTTTTAGGGTGGGTTATGGCTAGAAACTATAAGTCAGTTGATCTGTTTACGGTTTGCTCTGAATGATGCTTGATAATATCCTGACAGGTATCGATTCAACTTAAATATCCAGTAAAACAACCTTGAAATATCAGGTAGACGCTGTTATACATCTGGCTACTGCAAAATGGATTTTAAACTAATCACTACATATAAGCCATTGAAAGTTTAACCCTTACTGCCTTGGCTAAATTACAGGTTAGAGAACATATAACCAGGAACGTTTGTCATGCAAGGGGTCTTCCACTATGTGGAAAGTTTTTGAAGACCTCACTGGTAGTAAACATCTTAGAAAAGAAGCACGTGTTGATGTCTGTGCTTTACACAAATCGCTTATACGCCAACCTGATTGTCCCATCCTACTCTGTCCGCCCATTCCCAATGAAGAATGCTGTTCAAAACTCACCTAGAAAGATGTTTTAAAATGTCTCAAATACCTGAACCCTTCATACAGTTCAACTCCGAATAACAAGCCAAGTTCCATATTCACGAAATGTGTTGATATTTTATACCATCCATTGACTAACATGTCTAGTAGATCGTTTTCAAAAAACAACATACCAGGTGCCTGGAAAGATATTAAGACAGTCCCTGTATCTAAGTCAGTGACAGCGCATGTTTGGAATTCCGTCCGATTGTAGTTACTTCTCCGTTCCTGAAAATAGTAGAGAAGCTAATAATACCTGTGCTTGAACTCCCATTAAAGGTTTTGGAGATCATAATCAAGTTGCATGCGAAAGCAAAAGAAGCACTCTGGATGCCACCAATGTCTTACATCACAATATTGTTTATAGTCTTAGTAGAAATTCTAAGTATGTCAGGTGTGGCCTTTTTAGACCTTACTTTAGCATTTGATTCTGTCCCAAGACCTCTTTTGCAGAACAACCTAGCTGACGCAATAGATGAGTCCTGGATAATCAGAGGGCTGCATTTCTATCTCTCTGAAAAAAAAAACAATCTACTGTTCACAGAGGAAGTACTCCACCTCATTGCTTACTTAGGCTGGTATTCCATAAGGTGCCTTCCTTTACTCTGGTCTTTTCTCATTCTTTCTGCATGACTAGCCATCTTAAGCCAGTATATGCTGATGACCTGACAGTTTTCAAACCCGTCTTCTCTTCAACAAATTGTTTCCAACTGTACAATTTCCTACCTACTGTTAGACGATGATCCTCAGTGAATGATCTTGTGCTTAATTCTTCAAAATGTTAGACTTTAGTTTTAGATACGAACATAACTCTTGTGCCTCCTGTTTTATTGATGGTTGTGAATTAGGGAATGTCACAAGTGTGATTTATCTCGGCATGTGTTTTCTTTGGTCCTTTTCTTGTGCTCTCATATCTTACTAATTTCTAAAAGAATTTCCATCTAACTTTTGATATTAGGAAGCTGAGAGTATCTGGTATAGCTCAATTCCTCTTTTGTGCCTCGCAAACTCCTGCATTTTGCCTATTCTCCTCTATTGTTCCCCTTTATTCATTCCTGGGTTGCTGAAAAAAGACTATGTTGTATGGCGTAGAATTTAGAAGACTATCACCACAACTAGAGGTGTACCTTTAAAGATTTGGTTGGGACTGCTCTGGAAAACATCTTTACTCTTGTACATATCTGGCATGGGTTATTTCATCAGCTGACAAGCATCCTTTTCACTCAAAGCTCTACATGGCGGTTCTCAGGCAAGATCAGGAGTAAGTATGTAAGACTTTATGCGCGCACTACTAAACATAAAACTCTACAATACCGTATTTGCTTCACATCCTACGCTGAAAGATGAACGCTCTAATCAACTAATTAAAGATTAAGAAGCTTTTAATACTTATGAATTTTGAATTTAATCGCTAATTTGATTGTTTACCTAGGTTTATTATCACTAATATAACACAAAAATGGTACAACAAGGGCATCAAGAAATGCACCACACAAAAAAGTATAACAGTAATGTAAAGACATAAACGATGGGAAGTGGATAAATAAGAAAGAAAAACGATAAGAATAACATGATTAGAAGGGCAGTCCAGTAAAACAAAACATTCATTACTTTACAGCAGCAGAAGATTGGAGAAAGCTACAGCATGACCCCCACTGGTCTTGACTTTGGGCCATATCTAATAACGTCTCAAGCCACTGAGTTTCGTGATCTCTCGGACCCCATCCAAAGAGTCGTGATGAACCAACAGATGCTAACCGATACAACTATCCTTCATTGCACGGTGCCACGTCATGCACTGACCAACCCTCCGCTTCTTCCATCTAGTCCCAGGATTGACAAAGAATGAAAAGTGTGGAAGCCGTTGGGACAACATGCGTAACACATATCCAAGCCACCGAAGCCGGTGTTTCCAGATGACGTCACTCATTGAGTGATGATCTCCATCATGTCATATCTCAGAATTACTTACATGGTGTTGCTACCGGATAAGAGCAATCTTACGGATACAGCAATGATCGAACACACGGTCATCACACATTCTCAGCTCGGAGAGACCAGGTTTCACAGGCATAGAACAGCATTCTTCACATAGAGGCTTCGTAAACCCAACCCTTTAAAGGTCAGACTAACGTCGAGACAGCGTCAAAGTTATCCAGATTGATGTATCCAACTCTCGCTTTAGATAGGTGGTTGAAAATTTCACCGCTCATACGTTCGCCAGAACTCACACAATCACCCAGATACACGAACTCTTCGACTACTTCTAACGGCTAATGCAAAGGGTGAATGCAGGCACAGGATCCTTCCAATCTTGCGAAAGTACTTTTGACTTTAATGGTGCGAAGCATATACCATACTTACGGACATACATCGTCAACTGATTAAATGCGTACTTGAGCAGCCTGCGTGTTATCGCACAGTAAGATGAAATCGTCTGCATATTCGAGGTCGAATAGCTGTTCTCTGGGTAGTAGATCTACACCACTATCACGCAACTCTTTTACAGTCGTCTCAAGAACGTCATCGATGGCAAAGTTAACGAAAATTGGAGAAATCAGGCAACCCTACCTATACCCACTGCTGTTTTAGAACAGTGGAGACAAGTGGTTGTATGGTTTAACTCTACCTGAGCTTTTAAAATAAGACTTTCAGGCTGTTAATAAATTTCTCGAGGACACAGAGTATAGCCCTGTTCGGTGAATCGAAGTCAGACCTAGTGTAAAGAAAAACATAACGATTGTTGGCCTGCAAAGCGTCTGGCGATGTTCAAGCATCTGGTGAAGGGTAAACAAATGACCAATGCACCCACCACCTGAACGGAACCCGGCCTGCTCATAGTGAATCATTTCCTCACGTGTTTTGGAAAGCCTAAGAAGTATGATACCAGCCAATATTTTCGACCAGAGTCGTAACAGACTAATACTCTGATGATTATCACAGAACCTTTTTAAGGGTGGTCACAACACTGGCTTCCTTCTAGAGTGATGGAACACTCAGTCTGCCATACCTTCTCAAGCAATCTAGTCAGTTCCATGAGTGGAGTCATTCCTCTATCCTTAAAAAGAGCCAGGGATAAGTTGTCTGGGCCGGGTGCCTTGTGGGGTTTCAGAACTTGGAGTTCCTTATGGACCTCCGCTTCGTTAGGTGGATCAGTATAAACTGGCCACACAGCACGATACAGTGAAGCTAACGATACTGGAGCAGTGGCCCAGCTAAACTGCCTTCTGAAGTGTTCCGTTCAGGGTTCTACGCGTCTTTGAAGATCTTTTATCACCGTACTATCTACCTCACAGACACTCTCACTGACATTTGGCATCTTGCTGTCAATGGCTTGGATGGGCTGGAACGACTTCCGACTATTGCCAGATACAGCTGTTGCTCCCATCTCACTCGCGTGTCCTAACTACCAAGCCTAATGGGTCCTGTGTAAGTGTTGTGTAATCTTTCGCGTAAGAGACATACGAACAATTATACTCGCTATTAGCCGAAATGGTCTGACAGGCATCAAAAAGTTGCAGGGACCTCGCAGAGATCTAGTTTTTTTACAAGGACGTTCTTCCAAGCCCCAAGCGGTTTCACTCGCTAATTTCATGACGTCTTGCACGTGCAGCCAATGTTCGTCTACACTTTCTAGACCATCGGTACCCAGGCCTAAATCTAGCTCAGATTGATATTTAGCTGCAATATTAGGTGCAATTAACTTGCTTGCATTGACCTGTTTAAGATGGAAATTTTGATTATCACACAAACGTAAGACCAGCTTAGCACATAATAAAGCATGATCAAATTCTAAATAAGTACTAAATATGGAGCGGCAGTCCTGCATACACCCACGCCATCGGCAGCTGGTTGTGATATGATCCATTTGAGTCCAAGCTTGAGTAGCAGAGGGAGAATGCTAAGTGGCACAACGGCGATGGATGTACAGGGAGTTGGTACTGCAGAGAAATAGGTTGTTGACTTCGCATTTCTAAGAAAGTTATAGATGAAGTAAATAATCCTATCTTTTGTATATAACTTTTTATTTCATTTTATCATGTATCCATGTAAACTGTTTCTGTCCAATTGTTGCTATATGACACGTTGCAAATTGTGTACAGTATTCCCGAGATAAATTTCAAACTAAATCCGTTATTATTACTTAATACCGAAGACGACATAAATGATTTCACTTCGCTTACAAATAAAAACTGGGCCTAAAGTAGAAAAATATAACGAGAATACTGTCGACTTCGATAACGTTATACAGCTAGTTAGAGAAATACCGATATAAATGAGATCATTTTCTAAGCGGACCAAACAGTTGTTAACACCGTTTGCGCCTTACAAATTATACTGTTCAATTGCGACTGAAATACGAATGTCCAATTGTTGACACTTTAACACGCAATAAGCATACAACAATCCACTTCAATTCGATAAATGTACGGAAGATGAACAAGATTAAGTAAAAATACCTTTTGACCTTCTAATTACTTGACTTACCAGTTAAAGATTGTAAACCAGCTCCACTGTTGATAAGCATGATCCAATTAAAATGACCCAAAAATGAGGCCATGCAAACGCAGCAACCAGCAGTCCACCACCGTAACTTTCTCCAAACCTGGAAATGTCATATAAAAGGAATAACAAATATATTTACATTATGGTATCTAGAGATAGGAATTCAAAGAAAGATTACTTCACATAATGTACAAAATGAAGACTAGTTTGTCTGTAAAGGTCGTTATGTTATTGATATTGATTAAGAAACTAGTGTACACTTCAACATGTTACTTTGACACTTAAAAGGAAGCTAAAACAAATAAAATATATTCTATGCACGACTGTCACCAACTTCATCGCTGAATTACTGATATCGTTTTATGGGAATTTAAAACAGATTAGTGAATTTGTCCCTGAATGAAATAAGAACTTAATCTTTAGAGGAAACAGTCCTTTATTAGGATAAAATAGACCTTTGTGATAAGACGATGAAAGTTAATAAGAATCACAGTGTTGTCAACCAAATCGAGATATTTAACAGAAAAAAAATAATGTTGCATTAATAAACAAATTCATTCCCAACAGCCATAGCAGCTATCTACCAAAATTATCATAGCACAAATAACCGTTCAACAAGAAAATCAACATTTGAACTCAAAAGGAATAAGATTTTACTTACAAGCCATAGAGGTCAGAATGAAACAATCCCTAATCAATAAATAATAAACTGTAAGCGAATTTATAGCCGCCAACTTTCCAGCGGCTTACAAAAATCTGATCAGAGTCACTGTAATCCATAACTGATTTGTGGAGGTGTGACTCACTGGCTTCAACACTTGAATTTCAACGACTGGTCCTAAGTCCCAATACCAATCCAACTATTGAGTAGTGTCATAATCACTTAAACATCAGGTGTAGCTTACGGCTTAGTACACATAAACGAATCACTGATTTTTAATAAGCAGTTTATTTTTATTAAACAATAATAAATTCTAAATCACAAAAACTGTAGACATAAAAGTCATATGATGACCATGAAGACGACCACCATCAGAAAAAAAGACTCACTTATCTCTCATAACAGCTCCATCACAGATGGCAGCGAATACCAATGGTGATGATAGATCTAGTTAGTTTGGTTTAATTTTAGATTTTTAAAAATCCGTAGCGTTATAATCAAATTGCGCGCCGGCATAATTTCAAAATGGAAAAGTGTAATTCACAGCATAGTTGAGGTAAAATTAAGGAATATATTTAAGCATACAATTTACTAATTCGCATCGCGGAAAAAAATGTCAGAAACATAAAATATGTGATAATCTAATTAATAAGGTGAATTGGATATTCATTTATTTTGTGCTTCTATTCATTTCATTAATACCCTGCAAGATAGAATGTATACAGATGAACTAAGGTTGTCTGTTTACGCTCGTACATTTCCATTGAATATTTAACTGAACCAAATCAACTACTCTTTGCCTCATTGTGCCCATCATCATCGAATTTTAATTTGACAACACACTAGTGTGATGACAACTGTTAATGAATTAAAAAAAGATGCGTGTTCCGCCCTAATTTATACTCAATAACAGTAAATACTTAAGTTTACTAAGTGGTATATGTTCTCATGAAACTTGAACGCAACATGTATGAGTGCACACGTGTAAGTGAACCTGTTTAATTTACATGAAACAAACGGGAGAGCAAACGATGGGGCGAGGAGGGTAGTAAACGGGTGGAGAAAAACAGACAACTATCCCAAACGGCTAGAAGATAATCTTTCACCCATAAAAAAAAATAAAGAAATATAACATTCACAAACAATTCCCACAAGAATTCGTGTCAGCAAAATTGAAGCTGATTTCGCTTCTTAGTATTACTGAATCTGTGACTGAGATAAAACAGTGGGTTGGAGGTCGGCATCAAAGAACTTGATATAACTGGGTATCCATACTTAGTAGTTGAATTTCACAGTCACATAGTAGTAACATGATGTCAACAGTGTGTGTAGTACTCTTTCATTTGAAAAGAAGCTTAAATAGAGATATCCTACCGATGGGTTTGAAGCAAAATGAGATAAAAGTCACTTTTTCGATTGTCGCTCATCACTACGAGACAGTAAACGCATAAAAAGTGCCACCAATGAAAAGGAGAGCTAACTCATTAACAGAGTACTAGGAAAGGAAGAGATTGGCATCCTTCTTAAATAAAAAACAACAAACAGTTAACTGGTTACTAACAGTTAGGAAAGAAGATGCAATTATCACTTAATAACTCCATAGTATTTCCCATACAATAAAAAGGATACATACAAATGATGTCACTGAAATGGCTAGAATAGTTCCCAATGGAATGGACTTTTGAGGATTTGTTAAATCACCTGATCGGTTAGAACCAGCCATAATTCCTACAATGCAAAAAAAGCAAACAAATAATACACAATCCGGTTTATGAAATGCACATTCTAAAATAAACCATGAAGGTATGCAAAAATAACTTCGAAGACGACCAGTGTTTTAGGTAGAAAAAAGTCAATAGTATGAGGTGAATACGTTTCCACTTGCAATGCGTCTGCATGAATGCGTGACTCCCGGCATAAAAGGAAGAGAGACAGTCATCCCCACGAGAACTGGTTAACATGACTAACAGAACTTTTTAACGTATTCAAACATCACTGACATATACATATGCTAGATAACTGATATAAAATTCTTTTTGTTCAGGATAATCAAGTACACTTTTTAAATGTCAATATAGAGGTTATTTAAAAAGTCGACAAGTGTGAGTTATTTATTTGTTCATTGAGTCTGTGACGTACGTGCCATTGCCATCTACTCTCAGTCATTGAGTAATATATATCGTCTACATTTCGGTTGGCTAGTCAGAATCCCAGGGAATTAAATATGGTTCACGATGTAGCATACACTATAATTTTCATGATTATTATTACGCAAAATGTGAAATAAAGTTCTCCGAATTGCTAACCTTCACAGTTAACAAAACTATGCATTTTGGTCGGAGACTATCCATTCTTCAAAGCAAGTGAACTAGGCGATGAATTTATACCATACTCAAATGCATGAAATACTTGCATCTTAAAAATGACTATGTATAATATGTAAACCATAGCATCAAAATATAATAATGCGCTTGAAAACTAATTTCAACACAAACTAGGATTGTTCACCCACTCCAGATAAACGCATTATGCAACGGAATTTTTGACGAGCTGCGAATTGTAGGAACAAAATATAACATCAATAAACATCCAGTGTTTAATAATTGGTTTGAAACCATGTACAGATTCCTATCATGTTGGTCAGGTTCTTTATTATATTATCAGTAAAATGTCCATCTAAGTCACAAATTACTCTTTCTTGCTGCGCACTTTTGTTAAAAGGCAAGTCGGAATACTCTCATGTTGAATGAAATTCAAGTGATTTTTGATGCTAACAGTAAAGACTGAAGGTAATGGCACCTAGAGCTGAGCATGCTGTAAAGAAGGCGAATTAGACTCAAACAAAATGTGTCAATTTTAATGGCTCGACCGAATGAGTTCATTTCAGACAAAAAAGTTAACCTCACTGTTATCCTGAAACAATTTTGAGACCTAATAAATTTGGAAGACAAAATGTAGTTTGATTGAGACACTAAAACGCATACATCTATACTAAACGAATATGGTGATACCCGAGCAAATAAACAGTCGACAAACAGCACAAAAATAACTACTAAAACGAAAGTACAAATGCAAAAAACTGATAAAACAACAAGTTCATTCTAAAGGATCAGGCTCAATCAACACATTTAACAGATGATTAGTCAATACACTAGCCGACAAATATATGCATTACTCATTTCCTCATTATAATCAAATGACATATCTGAGTAATTTTGCTTTTCACTATACACATTCAAGCATAACGACTCACGGTATGCATGTGTATGACGCCATGTACACGCCGCCTGAGAAAAAGTATGAAAGAAATAGTTGGATGAATGATAAGGTTTGAGTGTGTAACCATCTTGGCTTTTTCTAATGCTTTTTGCTAAACCCCATAAAAACACTGATTAATAATAAAGCTACGAGTAAGAAACAAATATATACAAAAGTGTATCCCAACACGAAAAAATGCTAAATAAGTAAAAGTTGCACAATTGGACGTGTGAATAGACAGATGATAGCCAGACTATATATAAATTAGTATGCATGAGTTTTTCAGTACAAAAAATGGTACACCTTTGTAAAAAAAAATATATATAGTGATATTCAATGTTTAAGGAATACTGGAGTTACACAGATCTTGAGATTCACACTAAAGTGATAGTTATCATATTATCGAGTTTAAATACGAATAAATGACTGTGACTAAATCCCCACTGTTATGAATATTGGGGGGTATAAAAGTACCATTTACGAATAATATCGGTGTTGAAAAAAACCTTCAAATGTTAGACCAAATGTAACGCATTATTGCTAATCAAATCTCAGTGGGAAATATGCTAAATTTTTAAGTCGAATATTTTGAGGCGGATCACCTGTCAATGTAGTTTTGTATAGGTCCCACAGAGCCCTGCAGATTTTCATCGAGAGAAATCCAGTTGGAATCAAGAATTCCTTGAAATAGCGACGCTATTCTACTTGATAAGCATCTGTTGAATATTGGTTTCCAGAAGAAGGTGGCAGATATTATTTGTTTTCTTAAGCAATAAATAGTGCGGAAAAACACATTCTGCGTCTACTAATTAAATTTGTAAAAGGATTCAAGATGTCAAAGACATACAAGTGAGATGACTGACTGACTGACAAAATTAACGTAGAATCTCACACACAGGTGCATCTGCTCAAGTTGCCACACTTCACAGTAGTACACAAACAAAAGGTGGATAAAAAAGAATGATATCAGAGTAGATAAAGTAGTGTGGGAGAATAAACAGTCTCAAAATAAAGATTAGTGTGATTACTCAAGCTTTAGTAGATGTCAAGGAGTGAATACATGTCCGCTATTGTAACCAACTTTCAGCCATGTCACAAAAAGTCAGTTCTTAACCACTGATTTCTTTCGTCTCAGGGACATCTACGCAAATAACTCAGATCAACAGTCACAAACTTCATCTCCGTGACTGGTGACACATCTTGGTTTGGCCACCCTGAACCCGCTTACAACCTAATCCAACTTTCCTAGCATCGCATATTGCAGTAGGCGATGAATGGTCATGCGCAACACATATCGAAGTCATCTCAGTTGGCTATGGTTCACGACCTCATCAACTGACTTGCCTGTCTTGCCTTTTACACTTCATCTGGCTTCAACACAATGATTTCACCAAGCCCGGGAAATGCTACGAAAACACCTATGATCAAACACCTGCAACCGCTTCATTTCTTCTACCACCTAAATGCCTTAGGTGAACAGTAATACTAAACTTCAGAAGACTATCATGGAAAAACATCATTCCTTACCCTCTGTCACCAAGTTATCATTAGACCAACGGGCCATGCAAGTTAATGTATTATCCTGTCGTCATAAGAAATCATCTGAAGTAATGATTTCACGGGGAGAGAAATTCAGCCTGAGTAACAATGACCTAACCGTATCGGCTGGCTACAAAGATATTTTTATAGTGATTTTACTCTATAGCGATTCAGTGTTGAGAAGTAATTTAAAAACCTATCTCAGTGGAACGATCATTTAAGTCCATTAACTAGTAAAACTGACTATTAATATCTACTCAATTTGTTGAAGTCAGTAAATAGGTTTGTCTTCAGTATGTGCATCTTTTTATCATACAAATAAGTCCCTCAAAGATAACTGAATTTCATTACCTTGATTATTGTTATTGTCATTATCATTATTACTTCCATAGAGACTTGAGAACTTTAGGCATCAAAGTATGTGTGCGAGCAAAACACAAAAATGTATTTTTTCAATCCAATAAACAAAAGAATATTGATTGAAAAGGGATACATTGAAATTAAAGCCAATGGAAATATGAACAAAAAAGGCAAACATCCTAAGGGTATGCATATACAAATAGATAGCACAAGAAAATGAATGTCTCGGAAATGAAAAACAAAACTATGAATAGAAAAGGTTGAATGGAGAAATTTTCTGAAAAATCTAAAGGTGTGATTTTATTAAATGAATATCCACAGGGAAATAGATTCACTAATGCGTAGTAATTTACAGAATAAAACCAACAGAATTAGGATAAAAGAAGCACAAATTAAAACTAGTCAAAAAAGGAAACTAATAGCATACAACTGTAACAAAAGTTACAATCGTCCTGATCGCTATCCTTTTCAGAATATCTAAGTTTATATTAGTTTGTTCGGCGTCAACGGCATATAGTAAGAAAATTAATCTAATCAACCTACCTAACAACTAATAGAGATCACCAATTTTAGTTTTAGTGGCACTGTGGTTCATTAGTTTATGGAGCTGACATCCAACCAATAAGTCACGGGTTCGAACAGCTGTCCACCTGCTAACGTTTGGCCAGTCAGATAATATTACTGGCCCTCACATAATAGGTGTGACCCATTGCTTACTGTACAAGGTAGCTGAGTGCATTTCGATTTCTACTCAGTTTCATCTTACTAACGACTAGTATACGATATCAAACTGCCCACTACCGATTACTGTATACGCAACCAGATCGTACCACAAGCCACTAGACAGTAACTGTGGCTCATGGTTATTTTAAAATCTTGTACTTAGTTGCTAGAATGCATCTTAGGACGTCAAAACACATTCACTTTCATCCAACCAGCATCTATCAAAGTGCATCGTGATGTTAAGCAAACCAGCCTGGTGGCCACATTGCAAAATGATCAACAGAAAAACGATCAGCACTTAAGACTCGACTACATAAACTTAGTTACTCTCTAGTATGTAATGCAGTCTCCTACAGAAGGTTAATCAGAGCCCGAAATGATCAGTATTACCGTTGCTGACTGCAAAATTGGGTGATGCGGGTCCAAATATCAGGCAGGACTTCACTTCCATTGGGGTTACAAAAGTGCCTTGCTAACAAGTGCCAAAAAGCAGAAAATATAAACCCATGGATTTCTGCCAATTGCCTCCATCTAATTAACAAACACATGAACTGTCCGGTTCACTGGTAAACTTGTGATTTCAGTGTTGATTCATACCGGTTAGAACCGCTTTGAAGGCATTAAGTTTGGGTCGACTTTAGAGGCCAGCCTAGCAACGATTCAAATAAGCAATGAGGTTTATCCATTATGACTGGAAATGGAGATTTTCATAAAATAGAGAAGTTTGATTGGTTATTTCAGTTGTTGTCAGAATGGCCTTTAAAGTCACCACAAATGTGTCATAGTTGCACAAATGTCTTGTTGGTTGGCATCAACAAGAACGAAACCGCACTAATTACTTGGATTCATCTAACCTATGAGTTTCACTAACGAATGAAAGATATAGTAATGCCTTTATTCCAATTTGTAAGTGATTTATATGATTATCAGTTTGGCATGCATTTCCCAATAAAATAATCGTTCGTTTAATGTACACAACAAATAAAAGGTAATCATGTTACAGTATTGTCTTAAAATAAAACCACGAGAACAAGCCCAATATTTCATTTCTTTTTTCCATAATCCATAAAAGGTTATTTCTATTAAAACCTAAATAAAAATCAACTCGTGTACGACTAAATGTTTTCATTTATTCAGCTGTCATATAACTGACTCCATTAGTAATAATAAAGAAAATGAGGGAAATAAAAAGCTAACACACTGTCAGTTAATAGAAAGTAATTAACAGGTGAACCAAAACGAAAATCAATAAAATGTTTCATATTAGCTTTTAGTGTTAAGCCAAAGAAGAAAAATGGGATGTAAAACCAACCATATGTAGGATGTAGCAATGTATTTAAATAAACAAATCGTAAGACGAAGCAATGACATGAACGTATCCTGAAAAAATTATCATTATTATTATTATTATTATTATTATTATTATTATTATTATTATTATTATTATCACTAAGGAGCCGATACATCTTTATTTTCATTACAATACTCAGGGTTTAACGCCCTCAGTATTTGTATCAACCTTTTTTAGTCATAAATCAGCGTCATTTCCTTCTATTGAATGACTGATGTAAATGTTTTTTTAAAAGTAAACCTCAGCGGTAGCGCTTCTGCTTTCCTCAGTAGGTGAAGCTAACTCTAAATATAAAAGAGACGGAAGTTTCGTCAAGGTTTACAACTACTATACGCGTTCAGGATTTCCAACAACTTGCTTCAAACGCATAACATCAAACAATGTGAGGAGATCATGTATTCAGATGACTCTATCTATTACACTGTTCAATCAGCAAATGTACATTAACAACTTGATGACAATACCAAATGTAAAATAAGTAAATTGCTCTAAATATATCTAACTGTTCAAGTAAGAATACCGAGAAAACGGATGAAGGAGTTTGGAATCATGCAATGGACACTTTTAATTCATACCTCTTTCCATTAAAATATTGTCATCCATACAGAAACACGTCTTTCAGTAGGATATATAGACAATATTCACGTGGAGCTATGGCTTTTCAATCTAGGCACTCAACTTCCAACCAATTGGTCACAGGTTCAAACTCTACCCCACATACCTAGGTTCATGCTGCCAGGTAGTATCACTAGCCTTCATACAATAGGTGTGACTAACCATCTACTGTGTGATGAACGAAAGTGAAACGCACTCACTAACCTTGTGCACATTTGTGCAGTAGGGAATGAATCGCACCTATTGTCTAAGAGTTAGTGGTGCTATCTGGCTGCCTTAACCTCAGTGAGTGGAGTAAGATTCCAGCTCGTGGCCTACTGGATGAAATTCATTTCCTTAAACCACTCAGTCTTAGCCCAGAAATACTACTGAATATGCATTTTCGAAGAACTTGGAAAAGTTGAGTTATATGAAAATCTGATACTATTGACGACCATATCATCTTTGACACTTACTACTTCATGCATCTGGGTCACTGAACGCAAACAAAGAGGCAAGATGGTCTGTAAACGTTTTACTTACATTCATACACATTCATGAAGTAGTATTTTAAATCAGAGGTATATAGTTTAATAATGATAGAGGAATTTAGGAAAACTGTTCAGTACAAATCCTATCATAGTAATTCAGATAAAACAAGCAGCAACCTAAAGCGAAGTTATTATAATATTTTAGATCACAAAGATGTATTTCTCTTTGATAGATCAAGTTGAAATCATTTACATCGACTGCATACAGCCAGTAGTCAAATTCCTCTTCGCTTAGCACAAACTACCAAAGAAATACTTTGTATTAAAACCAAAGCAACCAAGCCAATCAAATTTGGACACTTTTTTTCTAAGCAAAAAAAGAATCAAACAGAGCAAAAACGTTCATATAACTGCAGCTGACTGAACGTTTTCAATGGGCACAGTTGAATAAATTTGAAAGATGAAGTTTAATACGGTCAGCACCTTCAATGATAAAACTTATGGTTTGACCAGATGAATACATTTCTATTCCATTCCAATATGTCAAGTTTAGACAAACAATTTTACTTAATGAACTACACTTTTTAACTTATTATCTTTTATCTAATTATCTGAACAACTTACCGGTAACAGAAGGAAAGTATATACCCAAGAGAATCATGAAACTCGATGTAACATCTGCAATATTTGGACCTTGACCATATTTACGATCCGCTGGGAAATCAGTAGTATCATATGCTTCTCCTTTTTCCCGATAATGTGATTCAAGAAAATTTTCTGAAAAATTTAAATTCATAAAAGTACAATTATGAAAGTTATATATATATATATATATATATATATATATATATATATATATATATAGATCACACTCCAGTTAATGTAAAAAGAAAACGCCTTGATTCAATCAATGGCAATGTGATACTTAATTTACTGCTTTTCCGCTTTTCGCCTCAAACTTGCTAGGTATTACAGCTATTCGAAATTGTTAAAAAGGTACCTCAAAAAGTGGGGGTTATCGTCAGCTTGAAATACATTTCTTAGGTGTAGCCTAGTTAAAATATAACCTTCACAGCGATATAGCATAAATTCATGCCAAGAAAGAGCGGAAACAAGAAATAGTTTTCTAAATGTGTGACAATGCCAACATGTACTGCTTCAGGATAGCATATACTACATTGAAATACAAAGGAATTTTAGATAAATCCTGATTTCCAAGAACACCTTGCCGAGATGGTAAAATAAGAAGATGAATAAATTGAAAGTGATAATGGTGTAAATAATTAACAGACTTATTCCACAAACTCAGTAGCTTTTATTACCACTTTTACTCCTTGTCGCAACAAATCTTACCGGTTTATAACACTACAAAAAGTGCTAACATTTATAAATGTAACCCCATTAGTGGTACATGGATAGTTGAGTTTGTTTTAATGATCACTTGAACAGTGGTTGACATGAAGCGTTTCTATTACAATACTACTACTACTATAGAACATGAGTAGTTGGCAGACCCTCACAATTTTCTAGTCATATAAAAGGGATCTAAATACCGAATGGCCATCCCACTCGCATACAAAGTTGAGCTCATTTCCATTGCATTGCTGAAAAACAAACTAGAAAAAATAAGCATAATTGGAGATCAAACTTCACATATCAGCTAAGTAAGTTTCATAAAGTCAGAAGAACATATCGGCATCATGAATATAATGAAGGCAAAATCCTACGATATTACTTAAAAGGCGTTTCGCCAGTATTTTTGAACACTGAACTGTACAGTTGTATTAAAGCATTTAACATGAACTCAATGAAGCTATAAAGGTGTGAAAGCTTTTTAAAAATTCCATTTGGTTTAGCTAACCCTGAGAATACTACAATTAAATTCATGTTATCAAGTTTAAGTTATGTAAACAGAATATCAGAGGTTGGAACATAGGGTAACTAGTTCTTAAATCCGACAAATGAAGCGCTCAATAGAAAAACCCAGTTTTACATTTGACTAAAACAAACAAGACTCTAAGATTAAGCACTCTCCAAGGGATCTAAACTAGAATTGAACCACCACATAATTTGTTATCAGGTAGATCAAAACGTTAGATCGCTAAATGCAATCCCGTCAATATGCTTAGTTACCATGATGTTTTACAAAAATCTACCTTTCATTCTTTTGTCTTACTTTCAAGTCGTTTCTTAAAACCACTAGTGCTCAGAGTCGGTTTCTTCTTTAGTAAAACTAATAGACCGCTGGTTAACAGAAAACAAACGACTTTTGGAAAAAGTGTGCAAATTTTATGAATATGAAACGCAATCAATTGTTTCTAAAATAACTTTCAGCATCCGCATAGTTTAAGGGGGAACTATAGTTAACCACGCTTTGTCGGAGATCTGCAATTACTAGAAATAAAATACTTAGCAAGCATGATCAGATATCTCGATGCTGTCTGCTACGCCATATATGACGCTCCATAAGACAACTGCACACTTGTATTCCCATATGGATTTTATCGTACTATTACGTAAACTATACGCCACTTGAAGTTTCGATCACTAGTCACAATATGTTTGACTTTGATAAGAAAAAACACCTGCTGAATTTGTATAGCAGCATTTCTATTCAAGACAAAGCACAAAACTTAAATAATGTATTCCAGAATAAATAGTATAAGTGATATCTCCAGGAAGCAAAATACTCAAACACCAAATGAAACTGACTATATTCACTTATTTGTTCACGACTGGACGCATTTGGGTCAGTGTAATTCTGCATGCCGACCAACTAGTGGTCGTTAAATACTGGTTTGATTTCTGGGCAAACTTTATCGACGAAGATGACTAACTAACTTCTAACAATTTAGACATGAAAAACGGTTTTTTTCATTTTCACAAAACTTAGAGCGTGCATGTACTAAATTCACAGGACAAAAAAAAGCAAATGAAGCGGGTATTGTGCTCTGTTAAGGTAGTTCAATGTAGTCACTACATTCATATATTTTAAGAAAATTTATAAATATAATCCCATCCGCATAGGAGGCCATATGCCAACAGAGACTGATCAATTCGGTCCAATCAACGACGGTGTAATACAAGCAATAATACTATAATCCCATTATCTTTAAAAAAATTTTCTTTCTAAAAACTGTGAAATTATGTCAGGAATTTCTGACAATGATCCGGTGAAACTACTCGAAAGTTTTCAAGATACTCGCAATCGACACTTACATAAATAGTGAAGAAATGCATGCATATTTTACACGAAACACGACATGCATTAAAACATCGGCTATAGGGTGGATTCCTACACAAATAACCAGTTGTGATCAGAAGTTATTATTATTACAAAAAGAACAAAAAATACGACGGGCCGTTGAAATTTTCGAATAAACTCGAAAACCGTGAAGATCAGTCACACATCTACATGGCGTAGTAGGTTAACTTGTGGGAGAGAAGTAACGGATGGTCAAACTGAAACAAGATTTGGGACATGCTTTAATTATATCCAGTATCAAATAGACTGCAAAGCAGCCGGAAAATAAAAATTTAGAAAATACAACTAAACAAATAATGTGCTGATTATATTCGATACAATCCATATGTTTATCTATGCGTTATTTAAAAGGATTATGATGAACAGGTCATCTAAGGTGATAACTGAGAATAAGTGAAAATTAGGCTACACACTAGCAAGAACAGGAAACTCGTCAAAGTCAGTTTATTCAAGATGGTGATAAGACCGCGGAATATATTAGGTCTCATTGATAAATGATTTGCCTTGTGATACAACTATAAGACAGTCTAACAGCAACATGACTTATGAATACATTTATCCTAAAGACAACTGTTTAAACAGGAATGAAAGAAATACGAAGCGCATTGAAGTATCACCATCAGCTACAAATGAAGGAAAGATGACTAATGTGAAGGAGAGAGTATGATTATTATTGCAATGTAACTGTGCATACTGCTTGTCACTCTAAGTTAGGATCTTGTGGAAGCTATTAAATAGTATGATTTAACGGAAATACTAAAGTAATTGCTTTTACTGCGGGTCGCATAACATTTATCATCACAACTTCAACCTGACTAGACATAATAGTCGCTCATACCGGTATATCAACAGTTACCCGACATCAAACACATTGCTATGAGGCAAATTAAACTAGATAAATATGTGTACTTTATCAACTGCACAAAAATGAAGAAATATTCTTCAATAAACGTTATCTACAAAGGAAACCAAAGCATCTTAAGGTCATTAATAAGGTATCAATACCTGTTTACCGGGTTGGTCAGTTACTGACAATGACGGACCAAGAATAGCTGGAAATTGGTCCAAGTTGAAAAACTTTACATTAGTACAACGGGGAAAAAACAACATGATGAAATACAAATAGATGTAAGACATGGATCCATCTGTATCGCTATAACTGACGATAAACTTCAAGTATCCTATTGTCGTCATCTGGTTAGTTATTACTAATTGTCATCAGCACAATACACTGAATTGGGCAATGATAAGAATCTGGAATCCTAGGCCCCAACCATTTTAGTCAACAAAAGTCCAAAAGCTCACCAATTGCTTCATCTCTGTAAACTTATGCCCCACTCCTAATCCCGATACTACTCACATGGTGATTTTATTGAATGCGGGCTGTCATGAAGATAAAGATCATCAAGTGTTTATGACAGCATACTCTTCATCGATATTTCTGACGCGAACAGTAGGACAGTACTTTTAATCCTGCTTTACAACTAAATGTGCTTAACAGAATAGCTTGACGAAAAGCTGTTGAACTTTTCATGTCTGTGTTGAGACGCCAGTCAGCCCACGTAAAATACAGATGTTTTATGTAAACAAACCCAGCCATAGAAATTAAGTTGAAAGTATTTCGCGAAAAATAAGCACCATGGGGTACAATTTCAGTCTGTCTATGTATAGTGCGACTATAACATTAAACACTGAATTATGCCACCTTGTCTTCATACTCGATTACTTGTTCTATTTAATGCTATGACATTCAAAATGAAACCTATTTGTTGCGGAAAGAAAAAGGCTGCTAGCTGCACATCTGCTGGTCTGTGACTGACAGTTATATTATGTGAATTTCTAAACTATACCAGATGGAATGGATTTAAAGCGACAAACCAATGACTGAATCAACCATCAGGATTGCTGAGCCAATAAATTCAAAAATGCGCAAACATAATGAACGGGAGATGACTTTATCACTAGGTCTGATTCGCAATTTTTTTATAGATGCCAAACTTGTTACAGAAGAACATAAATGAAAGATGAACAAATCCACTGATCCCTGAATAAGAGTAAGAAAACTTCGCTTTTTTGTCATAGTAATAATTGACTGAGATTTACATCACCCCTGCATACAAAAGTCTAAGCACATACATATGCAAACAGACATGCAAGAAACACGTTTATTTCATATAACTGTGACAAGTACTGCCTAATATTTATATGAGGGGAAAAGAGAAGGTAGTGTGACCAACCAACTGCACACGTAAAGAAGGTTATCGCAGAATGTCAAATAAAGTATTTTACAATCACTTGATTAATCCACATGAAATCAGTTTCAAAAATCAATACAAGGAAACAAAGTGAATTGATTAAAATAGGTTGAAAAACTTTCGTGGAAGTTAAAAATCTTAAGATAAAAAAGAAAAAATATTGTCACTAACGCACACATTGAGAGTTAGTAACTTAGTCTAATATGACAAGTAGATAGCAAACATCAATAAATAATGTGATGTCACAATTGATATTCCTTACGCAGATAAGAACAAAACATATCTATAGAGCAAGATACTGTTGTTTAGCCACAAAAGTGAAATGTCGATCAAAGAGAGTTACAGAATATGAGCTGGGTAAATTTAGGAAATAAAATGAACCCAACTTTCAGAAACAACCAGTGAACGATCTATGTAGTTATGTAAACAAACAGCCATCATCGAGCAATAAGTATGCGCCAGTTTTCTTCACTTAATTTAACTCAACCAATCAGAGGAAATCGATAGTTAAAGGACACTAAACGTGGATTAAACTAATAGATACAGAACTTAGTTTTACTGTCTAACAGTTCATAAATACCTTATTTTTCCTTAAGAGCACTGATCTGTGGGAAGGAATAGTCTGTTAACCTTTTAAATTTGTAATGGTATCGTTTGAATCTCTCATATAATGATGAGAACAAGGTCAAATAAGAAAGGAATAACACTACCTAGGCTGAGATTAGATGTTTTTGGAGGACAAAGTCTGGCAATACCGACGACAATTAATACACAAACAAGCAAGCATAACAGTGCATGACCGGTCATGACGGTGCACATATATTTAGGCAGATACACTGAAGAAACAAAGAAAGTAATAATAACTTGAAGACAGAAAGAAACTGAAATATAAGTAGCGACAAAGAACTCAGTGAAAACGTAAAAATAATGAGTACGAAGTAGTAGTGTACTCAGGACTAATGAGAAAATAAAAATGGAATACATTTGCATTAGTTAACGACTTGGGCTGCGGTATTAGGTCTATCAGTCAGCATCATCGTGCGACCTGGCATAACCACAGAGCACAGTTCACGTTGCCACACCTCATATCAGTACATCAAAGTAGAAGGTATAACGATACGAGAAAAAGAAGTAGGGAATCGAATATTCATAAGTGGTTGATAGTTCTGAAAACAGAACAGGAAAGATAATAGAGGTTCAGTAGGACGAGTAGCATAAAGGTAATTTGTGGATGCATCTACATTACTACCGATTTCAGTTGCCACGAGAACCACAACCGGAAAGTTTACATTTCACAACACGATTTAGACCAATCGTCAGAGAATTTATGAACTGATGCTGCGCATTATTCTAGCCTTCTCTAACAGCTTTGCAGCTAAAGCGTACTCCAGCTAATTTTGCGCGAGTAGGCAGACGGCGACTAGGCATGCGCAGCACATATCACGGTCATCTGAGTACATGAAGGTTCACGATCTAGTCCACTGACTTGCTGCTTTCGCCTAAAACGTTACGCCTGAAATTTAGCGCTATTGCCATGCTGCCCCACAACACACTGCCTATACCACAAAAGCATCAGTGATAGAAAGCCTGAAACATTCCCATAACCAATTTTATTGGCTATCTTTTTCAACCATACATTAGAATACAGCAAACTACAGAGCAGTACACCAGATCCTTAATAGGCAATCAGATATCATGGTGGTGCTATAAGAACATGTGCTACAACTCAACACCGTTTAATCCCTTACTAGAGCATATGCAAGTAATCCTTTGGATGTACTGATGACGGTTCACGTGCAAGGCTATTACATTATCAGGTATGAAATTTTCAGATCTCCAACTGGCAGACTGCCAAGTTTACTTTCGTTTGCATGAGCAAGTAGGATGTGTATGTTAGTGAAGTTTAAATGTATGCCGGTGTTTGTGACAACGCTTTGTTAACAACTCGTACGTTAAGGTTAGTGAAAGCCGTAAATAAGTTAAGTGACCAACAGGTTCATTTCACACCTATTTTTCTAAACCAAGGTTTTAAGCCAGCAGATTCACGTGAACAATTTCACACGAGCAAAACACATGCCACATAATCAAAAATTCTAAAAAGAAGTAGGGATTGTATAAGAGCCCACAGCCGATAAGCTAGTCACCTGTGTGCAATAGGTCAATCAACGGTGGAGAATGTCACGTTCATTTCTATATCAATGATATGGTGGAACATAAACGTAGACGATGGGTAATTTTGAGATACACATGTGGCTATCTTCAGCTGATATGAAAACGGTGAGAATGTCTTCATACTAACTGTTGCGTAAAGTTTCTTCACAGAAGGTTTAGTCACAATGTTACTTGGTCGATAGAGTAGAATATCACCATCTGACTTCAGATAGACCTTCTACACAAAAGTGAAAAATAAATTACGCCCACAATTCCTAAAACTGCGTGTTGTTGCTCCACTCTTGTATGTTTGATCTCATAAAGCAAACAGAGAACTAGGACATGCATCGTCTGAGGTGGTGACAACCAGTAGTGACAGCCATGGATTACACATGTCCTGTTTAACTTTGCTGTGAAACTAAGTGATGGATGTAACCCTGCATAAGTTTGGCCAATTAGCGATTAAATTACTACTCGAAGGGTATTTCGTTGACTTAGCGTACATAGATGAAATACTTCACTTCAGTAGAGACACTAGCAAAATGCAGGGTCTATAGAACATCTTCAGCCACAATCTTATTAAATTCATCATGTGTTTTTAAATTGTCGTTTGTGAGGTAATGATAAACAATCGGTCGACATAGGCCTCACAGAGACGATAAGTTTTTGGTCACACTCGGTCTCTATAGTATGGTAGTGACGAAACCACGGAGACAGTAATGTTGAGACAGGACAAAAAGTACCAGGTTTATATAAAATAGAAGTATCAGGTGATTATAGACAAAACAGTAAGACACCCTGAACCAGAACCAGGTCGTGAAGATATTAAGAATCAATGACTGCAGATTTTGGGTTGTATGGCTCAAAACCGATAACATTGGTGAAGATATATGTGGTCTTCAATCATTGGAATTTCGAAGATTTTCATCATTTATTTATTTATTTTCTTCAAGTTCTAATATATTTTTGTGTACTATAATACAATTCCCTTTCTATACAGCTTTTCATTGTGTGCTGATGTGAAAAGTGAAAGCTCGAACTGATGCACAAGTGTGAAAGGTTATGAGTTGGTTTGTCTGTCTGATGGTCGGACATAATTTTTCATATCAAATAAGTTGCTTTCCTCGTAATGATTTCAATACTTAACTTCAGTTTCAGTCAACCTATACTTATTTTTCAGTGGTTTAAGCACTAAAGTGAATTTATTAGGTTTCGTCATGTTTGCGCACAATATGGATAGTTTTAGACTAAAAACCACTGATAATAACCATTCCAGACAGCATTCCTGATACAGTATGGAATTCCCAGTTTGTTACATGTCATCTGAATGATGTTAATCATAACTGCATTTTAAGTAATAAGCTATTATTGTCCAACCTGGGGTACGTTGTTGCAAGGGGGTGATGAGTAGAAAGGCATGTTTAGGTTTAGTGGTGGGGGTTCATCCATGTACATCTGCAGTTCGACCTAACTATTCCAGAAATCGTTATATCGTACTATTATGCGTTTAGGGGCTAATTACAATTTGCCTAGATGTTTTCTCTTAATGTTATTGGCAACCTACGAAACAGCAGGTTGAAAATATCTTAAAATGCGCCAGAGTGTTTAACACAATTTGACTGATTAAAGTCCAAAGTGAACAATGTGATATACTGTATTTGGTGGAGAGCTTTTCAGTAGCCCAAAAAGGGATTAGGCAGATCTGCCACCCGCTAGCTAAATTTAGGTGTAAGTTTTTAAACGTGTAAAACAAATATTCTGATTTTTAGGAGAAACAATTATGCCATAATGCTTAATTTTTGAGTTAATGCAAATCGGATCACGGAAAAAATGGGTGATAAAGCATGGCTATCGTACATTAGTGAGACCTTTAACAACCACAAAAAAATTGAAACACTGTCCCTGCAGTATGTTCAGAGGAAATGTAAAGTAGCATATTAACTGCCGATATGATGAAAGCAAATAAAGTATGGCCGAACACAAACAATGCAAGGCGGGGAAATTACTACTATGATGCAAGTGGCCATAACACTGACAGAATAACACTATTTTGTAGATATAAATTAACTGAATTACTTTGTTAAGTTGAACTCAAAAGGTATTTATGACAACTTGCTAGTGGGAGGGATATCTAACCACTTCTACGATGAACGACTGGATGATTTACATATCTTGCAACTGTTTTTCCTAAAGCAACGAGTGAACTCATTTTAGCATAAATAATCTAAAGTAGTAACTAACATGATATTTTGTTCATTGATACGCATTGAACAAGATGCAGCTCTCCTGCCTCAGTGCTCTAGTGGAAAACGGTTTGGTTTTTAAAGCAAAAGACACTTAGTTTGAGTCTCAGTCAAAATATTACACACTGGGGTGTATATACATCCAGATAACGGGTTACAGATGGCACGACAACTGCTTCCTAAATTCGACAAACTACCATCACCACGTAAACTGCAACATAAGTTACTTCTAATCATTAATTTCTTCATCAAAACTTTTCACCTGAAACAACAATATCAAAAACTCCATAACCTTTATACCTATAAAATCACTTGTCTCACTGAATGGTAAACAATCGGAACTCTTTGCCAGACTACAAAGAAGCTGCACCCGTTCACCAGAGTGAAACAGGATCGAAACACTATTACTAATCGTCAGGTGAGAAGAGCATATTGGTGTGCAATCGCTATTCCTACTATTATTTGACTTGGGTTCTTCGTGCTACACAGGGCGTCAGTAGCACTTCTCCATTCCACTCCGTTCTCTGCAGTCTTTTGAATATGGCTCCACCACTGCCCACAAGCTCTCATTTCTTCCTCACACGATCTCCTCCATGTCACCCTCAGCTGGGACGCCCAACTCGTCGTTCCCCATCTGGGTCTCACTCGAGGGCCTGGCCTGGTGCGTGATGTCCCCAATCGGTCTTCTCAGTGTATCCCCAATCTAATCCATCTCCACTTTCTTCTGCATATTTGTAGGGTGATGGGTTCTTGGTTGGTTCGTTGCCCGGCCAGAGTTTCTTGTTGCTTATTCTTATTTTTCTGGTCATCTGATCTTCAGCAACGAGCGTAGGCGGCAGCTGTTGATAATGTATGTCTGTAGTTTACTGGAAACGCCTTTGGTAACGCGCCAAGTTTCTGAAGCATATAGAAGCACCGACTTACTTGACGTTGGTGTTGAAAATCCGGATCTTGTTCATGGTTTGTGCTGAGTGCAGTAGATCTTCACAATGATTTCAGATTAACGAAAGCCTGTCTTGCTGTCTTTCCGATCCTGGTTTTGACATCCTCGTCTGTGCCGCCGCCACCTGTAGTTGAGACGATGTTGTCTAGGTAGGTGGAAGAGACTACTTCCTTTAGGTTTCTCCCGTCAATGGTGATTGGTGCTTGTTGTTGATGCTGTTGTTGGTTGGGTATCTTCATCACCTCTGTCTTCTCTACATTTGCTTGAAGTCCCGTTTTCGCTGCCCTGCCTCTTCTGTCAACTTGTTAGTTTTCGTCTGTAGATCTTCGAGTTTGTGCGACATTAGACATAAATGACTACTGGCGAAATCCAAATCTTCCAGGCTCTTTTCATCTGTCCAGACAGCGTACGCCCATCTTCTCACAGCTCCTCCCAGCTTTTTGCATGATCTAGTCCAGTTCACCACAATCAGAAATATCATCGGTGATAGTAGGCGGCAACCTTGTATTGTTTCCTTTCTTTCTCCTCTTTAGTAACCAAGTTACCTTTACTATCTGCGATTGGCTTCATCTGCGTTTATCTCTTATTTACCAGATAGTAACCTGGTTATTTGATATGGTGTTATCAGGTCTCTCCTACCTGCAGCCTGTTCTGCTTCACTTGCTAATGTGTCATGGAAGTGTCTTTTGTCTTTGCGCTCACTCTTCTTCACTTCTTTGTCCAGTGTTTTATACATTGTACTCAGTTCGTCTTTTCGCTGTGCATCTTTGTACTGGTTCACCTTCTGTTTCATCTTCCTATCTCTCCTCTGTCAGCTTCTATGTGTCCGTCGAGATCGATTCCTTGTCTTGCCGCTTCTTCTTCCTTCCTAACACGGTTATGAACGTTTCTTTCCATATAGCTTTCAAAGTTTCTGTGCTCCTCCAAGCCCTATCCTTTAGGAATGTTGCTCAATGTCTCCCATTTCTTGCTGATGGCTAACTGACGTGAAGTCATCCTTTGTAGTTTCGTCCTTCAGTTTCTGTACTGTTCTGGGTATTGAACTTGAACTGTGGTCTATCACCAGCTTCTTCGATGTCTTTCAGCTTGATTTTGAAGGTAGATTCCTTGCACTAGATAATAAGTGCGGTGTGAACCTACATCTGCTCCCCTTCTTGTTGTGATCCTGTGTCCAGTAGGCTGCGTTTCCACTTTCTTCACATTGAGACGAAGTCCATCGGATTTTTAGTGTCCGTCTGGTGAAGTCCATGTCGCTTTGTGAATGTCCTTGTGTTTGTACACACTGTCTAGCCTCCAATCACCAAATCGTTAAATGTGCAGAAATCTGCAAACAGTTCTCTGTTCTCATTCATTTTGCGGAGTGCCTCTCGACCCATGACCCATGATCTCTTCCTGTGTTGCCTGCTCCGAGTTCGGCATTCATGTCACCCCCCACCCATCAGTATTTTGATGTCGCCATCGGCGGTATGGTCTTGTCCATTACTGATTGCAGTTGTCTGTAGAATTCCTCCTTCTTCTCTTCATCTGCATTGTTTGATGGCGCGTAGCACTGAATGATTGCGACTTTCCTTCCTTTTGAGTTAAATCTTGCTGTCATGGGTCCTGCAGGAGCAGATTGGTTCCCATTGCATGAGAGCCTTCGATGCTGTTGGGGACATCATGATATCCACTTCAAAAATCAGTGTGCTTGTGGTTGTCGTCTGGGTGACAATATCAGAGTAGATTATTGACTTTCCAGTTGACAGTTTGGAGAGTCCACTTCCGATACATCTACTTTTGCAGATTCCAAGCACTTCGATGCCATACCTTCTCATCTCTTTGGTAATCTGGGCCACCTTGTTAGGTTCAAACATAGTGCGGACATTCTATGTCCCCATTTTTTACATTCGCTTTTATCGAGGGAGAGAAGACACGTCGGCCGACCGGCTTCCCGAAGGCTTTCACCAACCGGCATCATTTCTTCTCTCCGATTCCAGCGAGGAATAAGTTTGTTTTTATTTTTTATAGTTTCTTTGTGCTTTGAAGTTTTTCTAGTGATTGGATTGGTTTTACAGGGTAGGGTTGCTAGCCCTATGCCCAACCTTCCCTTTTTCTCCAGGCTTAGAACCGGCTAGTAACTAGAGGACTAGTTAACCAGGAGAGGTTTCTATTTCTGTAGTCAGAAATATTTCAAGGATCCGCACTCACCTTTTGTTTACAGTGATAAATACCTACACACAAACCGGACTACGCTTTCTTTCAGTGCATGATTCATGGTGACATTTCAAACTTTTTAGACGAAAGTAAACAACCAACTTACCAAAAACTTTTGCGAAGTTAACCCAGGCATAGCAGGAAAATAGCTAATGTTATTAGCATGAAAGAAAGAGCATGATTCTGCTGTCGCGGTTTCTGAATTACCACAATAGGCTTGGTAAATAGGTCCAGTAATATTTTTATGGCATTCTACTGAACCATTCACGCTGATAAAATCTCGACTTAGTAAACGCCCACCAAGTGAACAAACACTTAACAATGTTTAGAAAAGAGAATACAAAATATTTTTTTATTGAAACAGTAGTAAAAACAATAATGATAAACAAAATTCACTGGGTATACAAATAGCTTGTAGTAGTACTTTTACCAGACTTGCATACACGGCCGCATTCAAGGCTAGTTAGTATACAATAATGTTTCGACCTGTTTGAAATTCATAAATAAATTAGTTGACAGGTCTGAAGAGATTAAGGCGAACAAAGAGCGACGCCTTACAGCAAATTTCAGCCATGAGTAAACTCAAATTCCTACTGAATTGTGTTGCTATGTCCGGCAGTGCTTAGGTCAAACACAACCACAAAGCATTTAAACTACAACTACTGTAAGAATGAGGTGTGTACATGGAGTGGCTACAGTATAAAAATTGACATAACCAAGCCCTATGTTCCGAAAGAAGCCTATCGATTAACACCTAATACCAAAATACAATATACTGCAGTGTTGCTTACTTTACTAACCTTAGAGTTCACATTGCAAACTTGATCGATAGACTTTGATCAGTAATAAAAACAGCCGACTTGATACCATTGTGACCGGTTCATATGCACCTCAATAGCAAAATAACCACTTAAAACTACTTCGTTTTCCCCATAAAAATGCATCATCAAGAAGCAACAACACTAACATGCATGATGTTGATTCAAAAATACATCACAACTTTCAATAAGTGACTTTATTGTACGAAGTGTTTTGAATTTTATGAAAAATTCTATAATTGTGATAGAGAATCGAAATAGTACTTTTCTACCGATTTTTTCGTTAATCTTGATGATGCAATATACCACTGAGAAACCAATTCATTGATGACGATGTTCAAGACGTCATCTCATTACAACTTAATCACTTAAGCATTAGCACCCCCTTACTTTCAGTTTGACCGATACTGACATGTATGAAGAAGACAGCTTTGTCCACTGATATTGCTTTATGAAAAGTAAAGAATCCTTCAATATTTAAGAGATATAATCATTTTTGCAATCGATAAATAATGAGGTTGAAAAATAAAAATCTGCATATGTTGTACTCCACATCATGTCCTAAAAGGTTATATGCAAGTAAATACATAAACACGAGAAGAAAATCAATCGAACAACCAGCAAACTGGTGAATTATGTCAATCACCACATTATTATCTGATGTGAACAGGTTAACGACCGGAAACACAACTCATCAGTTTCAATTACTACATTTCACTCAGGTGGAAAAATTCATTATTACGTTTGTGAATCGGAACATAAAGAGGTACACTCAATGCTCTGCTATATACAGACCTATATGATATGAACATTTACATGTTAATATTATTGTATTGTCAACGATTTGAGGAAAATAAAGTGTGGAACGAACATCCGTAATAAAGGAAATTGTCGATTTTTCTAAAATACGGACTATTTACCAACAAAATGCGTTACATTTTGTTATTTTTCCCTTAGGTTAGTCGTACATAGGGCTTCAGTAGCACTTCTCCATTTCACTCCGTTCTCTGCAGTCTTTTGAACCTGGCTCCACCACTGCCCACAAGCTTTCATTTCTTCCTCACATGATCTCCTCGATGTCACCCTCAGCTGGGACGCCCAACTCGTCGTTTCCCCTTTGGATTCCACTCGAGCAACTGGCCTAGTTCGTGATGTCCCCAGTCGGTCTCCTCAGTGTATCCCCAATCTAATCCATCTCGACTTTCTTCTGCATATTTGTAGGGTGATGGGTTGTTGGTTGGTTCGTTGCCCGGCCAGAGTTCCTTGTTGCTTATTCTTATTTTTCTGGTCATCTGATCTTCAGCAAGGAGCGTAGGCGGCAGTTGTTGATGATGTATGTCTGTAGTTTGCTGGAAACGCCTTTGGTAACGCGCCAAGTTTCTGAAGCATATAGAAGCACTGACTTACTTGACGTTGGTGTTGAGAATCCGGATCTTGTTCACGGTTTATGCTGAGTGCAGTAGATCTGCACACTGGTTTCAGATTAGTGAAAGCCTGTCTTGCTGTCTTTCCGATCCTGTATTTGACACCCTCATCTGTGCCGCCGCCACCTGTAGTTGAGACGATGTTGTCTAGGTAGGTGGAAGAGACTACTTCCTTTAGGTTTCTCCCGTCAATGGTGATTGGTGCTTGTTGTTGATGCTGTTGTTGGTTGGGTATCTTCATCACCTCTGTCTTCTCTACATTTGCTTGAAGTCCCGTTTTCGCTGCCCTGCCTCTTCTGTCAACTTGTTAGTTTTCGTCTGTAGATCTTCGAGTTTGTGCGACATTAGACATAAATGACTACTGGCGAAATCCAAATCTTCCAGGCTCTTTTCATCTGTCCAGACAGCGTACGCCCATCTTCTCACAGCTCCTCCCAGCTTTTTGCATGATCTAGTCCAGTTCACCACAATCAGAAATATCATCGGTGATAGTAGGCGGCAACCTTGTCTTAACGCTGTCTTCAATTCAAAGGCGTCACTGGGCTTTCCATTGTGGGTCACTTGGCATGTGGCGTTTTTATATGGGTGTTGAATGAGGTTGATAAAGATTTGTGGCACTCCGCAATGTTGGAACAGCAGTTGCCAAACTACTTCTTGGTCAACGCTGTCAGTGATCGTAGGTCTGTCACACCCTGTCCGTTTACAGTGTTCAAATTTTTAAATGAATACAGCTGATTGTCAAAGTTAAGTGAAATGAAAAGGCCATAATGGAAGCATCAGGAGCATGTTTTATGAAATTCTAAATGCACAAGTGTAAATCGCAATGTTTCATGTCAGATCAAGGTAGAATGAATATAAACACAAAACAATAACTGTCAGCTTTAAAACATTTTCGCAACGTCCACTGGGAAAAACCGTAAAAATCAAACTTACTAGGGACTTCGAGACGAGCTAACCGTGAATACACCCAAATACACGCACAGAATTGAAATCAACACAGCAACCAAACTGACAGCAGCAAACCGGCTTACAAAACGGATGCCCATAAATACGCAGCACATAACAATGAATAAAAGTATTGTGCCATAAATGCGTGTATTGTTAAAGAGAGCGGCATCTGATGTGATATCGCCGAATATTGATGCCTGAGGACATATGTATTTCTAAGGGACAGATAAATACAGTTCGAAAATTAACAGAATCACTAAAGTTTAAAAGTACTACGGTCAATAGTTGAGTGTCTATTTTTGTTCGCGTCACACATATAAGACACATCAGTTCCTATCACCAATATACAGCTAATAATTATTATTTCAAACATAGTTCGGTTTATATGTACCAACCATAAATATGAAGAACAATCAAAGAATATGGTAGGACTCCGCAAACCAAGAAAGACAGGTGTATTTTACAGATGAGTTCACATGAGTGTAGGTAAATATTATCCCATTCTTACTGTTTATTATAATGGTGATAAAAAGTACGCATAAGCAAGAAGTAATACCTATAGAATAACGTCAAAATAAAACTACTAAACGGATGTTACAAGCAATTACCGTCTAATGGATGCAGGTTCTAGAGTTGTACACAAAGTGATTAGTATACAAATATTTAATATTTCCACTATTTTGGTTACTAAGCATTAAATGACAGAGTTCTGATGGCACCAGGTGGTCGATCATAGTTACCTACGTAGCACTGGACGCGTACTTTGTGACCAACAAGTTGTAATGCATGCTTAAAGAGTAGTGTCACAGGTATTGGGAGGTAAGTCAGTTAGTAAGGTTGTATACCTAAATCAACTGAGGTGGCTGGAACAAGAGTTCTATGACTGTTGACCTGAAATGTGTATCCAGGAGTATGCTTCAAAGCCGAAACCTATGCTTGAAGAACTTGAGTAATGTAAATCAGAATCAATCGCAGTGGTGGGAGTGAATTCCGATCAAGGAAATCTTCATCTTAACCTTTATATCATATCTTGCTGTCTTTTTGTTTTACAAATTTTTACGACTTTCGGTCAGATTATTAACATTTCTTTGTCACCCTTTAATCTTGATGTGCTGATAAGATTTAGTATCTTGGACTGTGAAGCAATGATGTCACTCTCCAATATTGGCATTGCCAAAATAACATCTCTGGCACATGAACTCACTGTGAAGATGCTTAAAGGTTGACACTAGTTTTACATTCATGCTCTTTGAGAGTGGTAACAATAAAGTCAACTCATATCTCACTACATTCAGAACTTGCTAGTTAAAGGTACCCTTCTACTTCACAGAATGTAGGTAATCCAAATATGCTGCAAATTAGCACAGCATCATCTAGTAAGCATTTACATACCGAGTCAGTATAAAAAAAGGACAAGTCAATTTTGTCTGTTGAATCAAGTACAAGAAAGTAACAAATCATACTAATGCCTCTGTACAGAAATCCCATTGGTTAAAGGATGATACGATAGTGCTTGAATAGTTGTCAGACTAGCAGTTTCTTTTGTATCACAAATATTGACTAAAATGAAAGAATTTCTATTTAATAAGTTAATAAATTATAAATAAATAATTATATGAAGCTTGTAAGCCAAATTCCATTGTCAACATCGATTAGAGAGACAGTTTCTATCACTTTGTGGCAGTCTGGTTAACCGAACACTTAACAAGAAAACTATCTACAAACGTGAACGAATCTAAAATATGCTACTGAAGAAATCTAATTATTGGTGATACTTGGGCTTCAATTGATTTTTTTAAAAACTGTTATTGTTGTAAATTATAATGGATAACTTAAGATTACTCTGTATCGGATACGTTAATTTGTCAACGTAAATGAACCAGAGTATAGGTTTGCTATAACAATTCTCATGGTTGTTCAACTTAGTGAGAAATGCATTTCATATGACTACGCCACTCCTGATCAGTTATCGGTACAATTCAGTGTAACGAGTACCTCATGGTGTCAACAGACAATCGATTAATAGTAGGAATGTCTCATTATTTCCAACATATAATTTTAGAAACTCAGATATTGCAAGGTGTCTGACGAAATAATACAGAATAAAATACTTACCAGAAATACCTCCACTGCTCCCACCAAGTACATGGCAGAAGCAATCGTAGTACCCAGATAGAAAAGTATGCCAACGGCCCCACCAAACTCAGGTCCAATGGAGCGTGATATCATAAAATAGGATCCACCAGCCGGAACTTTACCATTTGTTGCAATCGCTGACATACTCAAGGCAGTGAGCATAGTCTACATAGTAAAGGAAAATGTAGTGAAGGAATTCAATTAGATATTGTAGTAAATTAAAGGGAGGATATAATTTAAAAAATAATCCACTGGTAGTCATACGCACAAGCAGTTGTATACATCTGCAGATGATTATTAGAGGTAAGTTGCATCACAACAGTGATAACTCTTTCCCATATAACGAACAACTTCGTAATAATCAAATTGTAAGTGCTGCAATAGCAATTGCGAAGACTGAAATTAATTCTATAATTCCGCCCAAAATGTAAAAGGTACATTTTAACAGTTAGCTGTCACAGCCTAATTAGTGAAAACATCATATTAAAAGGTAGGGTATTAGTTGTAACGTAACTTGACAGATATCATCTACAGTTGTTTTGTTTTGAAGTCAGTGAAATTTATTTAAAGACCGAATTCCAAACTAGCTAGGTGCAGTTTTTTTATTAATGATGGATAATGGCTGGCCCAGTTGGATAAATGATACAAAATCACATTCCAAGAAACGATTGTTAACAAACACTTAATAATCTTGAGTTCATCAGTGTCTTGACGACAGCTGGAACTTGCAATCTGTGAATAACAACTGGTGATAATTCAGATATTCAAATTCTACTGCACACAATGAAACTTAAACCGAGTAACGTTTTTCAGTTTCTTATGTTTTTATAAAGGCAGAATAAAATAAGCTTGGCAATATTTTTTTATTCGATGCTTATCAGAATATCATTTCAGCCACCCATTTAGCATGTCATAAAGTTAAATTCCGTAAGAAAATACTCACAGAACTACTATTTTAGCATACTTATAAGCAGATAAAACCTATACAAAATCAGGGATACTAACAGTCACGTTATGGTTACAGCTCTACACACAGTTGTCTAGTTGGTCGACTCAAGGTTCTAAACCTAGGTTTCGTACTCGTTGACATTCATCGGCAAGGTTTATCTGAGAATACGAGAAAACTGATGGCTGCTTAGTGATTCGAACCTGCACCACTCAGCATTCAATTCAAACAGTTTGTCACAATCTGTTGGAACTACTACTAACCCCTTGTAGGACTAGACAATGTACATGGACCAGCAGTCGTTGCAGAAACTCCATGTTGACAACTTCTAACAAACACCAGATCTTGGTCCATGGATTGCTGACGACTGATTCTTAATATCTAATACTGAAAAAACATACCTCTGCAATGTAAAGTCACTTATCCTGGTGTTCACGCTGCGGACACACCGGTAGGCTCCAATCACTGCTGATCCCTTAAGATTTGGTAGGTAAATTCGTTAACATCCAGTAACTAATCTGTTACATTATTACCTAACGCAACACTTATAAGAGGTACAAAATTCGGTTTTGGTTCCATAAACAAGTAATAAAAAACGTATTTAATTATCGCGAAAGCCAACCAAACCAAAATTAACTCATGATATTTTATCTGGATTGTACTATTCCATGTTTTGTACATCTACAAGAAGAGGTTTCAGTACCTATTGAAAGTAAATGGTATAGTTCGTGATAAAAAGGCGCTTGTCAATTGCAAATAATATCGTAACATTCAAGTGTGCAACAGAAATACTTTTGTTCTCTTTTCTGATCAAACAGATATCTACTATCCATTCACCTCAAGGTATGTTCCTCGTTACGCTCCAATACTGAACTGTAGTGTATGCTTTTTCATGTCATATATGAAACCTTTTTAAAACTGACTTCTTAATGAAGACTGCAAAAAACCAACCAGTGATTTTAACCCTCTGAATTCCCGTACGAATATTATCAGAGCACAATTGAAGAACGAGACAATGAAGGAATAATTTTGAAAATCTTTTATGTCAGGATGCAAGTCAAACGTATAAAAGTGTTTCAAGTCTATCTGGTCTTTTACATGAGTGGGCAGCATACATTAGTATCTTTGTTCTCACGTTGTGTCTGAATAACCAATCAAAGAGGAGAAAAAGCCAAAAGGTTTGTCCAAAAGGTAAGACAAGTCTTAGTATGTAAACATTTTTACTGATAGTACTTTTGTGATCTTGATCTGGACTTTTGGGTTAGAATAACCCTATCCACCTCCCTTCTGCTTTGAAACTGCACATAGAATGATTTGTTTCCGTAAATAGATCAGCATTATTGTATTGTGCCTTACAGACAGTTATCGACATTACAGGATTAGGCGTATTTTGGAGCGTCTTATACCTATCGTAACGTACAAACATCAATTTATTCAGTTGCTGTTTCACTACAACAGACTTTCTATTCCTGAAAAGTTAAAAATTTTCTGCGGCGACATTAAACTGTTTTCATCCACATACTCTTTATCAATAAGAAAATTCCCCATACATCTAAGGGTATGAATAATGCTGTTTAGAACTGAATACACACATGATGAAGTGGATATCTTACAAATCGACTGTCAATAATTTCGCTTTTCAAAATATTTTTTTTTATCTATAAAAACAAACAAAAAGACGAAAATAAGGAAGCAATTCATAAAGAAGAGTAAACCTCGTCCCTATATGTATGCGTGTACGAAGCAATTGTGAACAAATGTTACAAGCAGCACATTGATGTGGATGTCAGATATGAAGGAGATCGATATTAATGTAATTATTCATTGAAAAATTTATGTTTTCTAAAAACCTAGTTCAGCGATGACATTTAACTGAAGTGGTTTCAGCATACATACGCAGATGATGATGAAGCCTCTATCAAAATCATTACCTCAAAGGTATTTATATATATATATATATATATATATATATATATATATATATATATATATATATATATATATATATATATAATATCAAAGTGTATTAGCAAATAAAGTCAATACATCTACGGAGAGGGGTAACAATACAGTAAGTAATAAAACAAGATTGACAATAGCTTTAAGATATGGTTTCCAGAGCCGGTGGTATAGTTAACATTGCGAACTGTGAAGCTCTAAACTCCATCACATGTATGATACATAGTACTATGAACACCTGGTGTAATTCAGCTTATATGTCCAATCAAAGGTATGACACATACGAATAATGAAGATTCCCTTCAAATTGAAACATAGTAAAAGCTTATGATCACAAATCAATCGTTAAATAGAAACTATAGATTGGCTTTTTTCTAGCCAACTTTTGATGGTTCTCTTTGAAAATGAATGAAAGTAAGAATGTGGCTGAATGGTGCTAAGAATAAACAGAGTATGGGTACACAAACAAAATATAAAACCTTAGAAAAACCAGGAATATATACGAAATAATTCAGCCGTAGTAATTAGATAAATAACCTCTTTACTAGACTCGGAACATCAATAATTTTATCCAGAAATTAAAAATATTTATCAAATGACCAAATTGTTGAAGGTTGAGCAAAGGTTTAGACCCATAATTGAGTATGTGAAAGTGTTTGAATAAATCAACAGGAATCTACTACATCAAATTAGTGAACATCTGAAGTTTATTACAGTTATGGATATCCTGAACGCGCGCTTTTGCGTAAAATATTCGTTCTTATTAACGCAAAAGAAAATACACAGCATGTACCTAGTTATCAGCAAAAAAACTGTCTAGCATAATCAGTGATCACTTTTGATAAGAAATTACCTGAATGAGTATATATTTATGCTTTATTTATCAGGTGAGCGAAATCAGTTTTACTATGAGAGAAACGACTGTCTTTTTATCAAATCATACATACTTTCGCATTGCTAATTGTAGCATGAAACTATCCATGTTGCATAGAAGCACAGTGAAATTGAAAGAAAACAGAGGAACAAACATGGAAGGATGTTTATCAAACTATGTATAATGTACGGAAAAGTGATATGATCTGAAAAGCAATTCATTATAGTAAGATAGGTGTTTGTGGTGATTGATTAATTTCAAGGTAGTTTCAATCACGCGTCAACATCAATTAGAGAAGTGTAGCTGAGGCTCATTGGTTTCGGGAGACAACTTTTGACCAATAGTTCCCTGGTTCGAATCCCGCCTCACCTACAGTCAGGTGGTATCATTAGCCCATATGCAATAGGTGTGTCTCATTGCCTGCTGCACAAATGTGCACAAGGCTGATCGGTGCATTTCGATTTCTAGGACCCCTGAGATGTGTGTACTCACGACCTTAACGGGGGAGATTTCGAATGCCACTCGGTCTCTCCTAGGCTTTTCTTTGTCACATATTGGTCTGAAATGAGAATGCACTCTAAATAAAATTATTTTTACTAGGAGTGATAAGTATTCAGTATCACAGGCATGACAACGAATCTACTGCTACTGTGGTGATTTTTGTACTAGGATATGAGCCACAGTCCCTATACGAAGACTTATAATATTAACCGGTCACTCAGGATGCAGTAGGTGGAGCGAGATTCGAATCCAAGATCTATTGTTTGAAATTTAGATGCTTTCGTCAATTAGGCACATCTCTACGAGCACTCATTGTACTGCCAACTAAAGAAGAGGCATGCAAACAAATATATTTATAAAAATTCAACAGTATTCACTGTAGTATATGGTAGAAGATCTAACAGAAATCAAACGATCCATGTATTTCTGAAATATCTAAGTGAATAATCATTAGGGCCTTTGCACGCAGATTATCACACTTACTCCTTGTTAAGTACAAAGCTGCGGCAGTTTCTGTAATAACTTCTTGTTACAGTGTGGAATACGATCATCAAGATTTCCATAAAAAGCTGTAAATCTCTGAAGGCCTTTACGACCAATAATGTTGCACCGAAGATTCGAGAGGAAGCACATATACATAACTTAGGTTATTATCAAGTTATCACTACAAGGATATGACACTTCCCAAATGAAAAATGTTCGACATTTCCAGTTTACAGGTACGAACACTTCAATGTAAAAGGTACAGTTGAAATGTAGGTCATCATGACAGAGAAACACCGCTTGGTGAAGTGAAATTTCAAGATTATGCAAATACGCAAGTTCAATCAAGTGAAACATGCCAGTGGTCATACAGACTATCTTCAGGGCTGGTTATAGTGACTA